TGAAGCAAGGGGCGGAAGCGCGGCGAGCTACAACTGCTGCTGCACCAGCCGCCTGTAATGTGGCATGACTTTGCTTTCCGGGAGGTAGAGGGCCATCTCCAGGGCCACCAGGATGGTGAACTCAAAGCTGATCAGCTCCCGTCTGCCGATCCTGAAGCGCTCCTCCAGCTTCTGCTCAAGACACGGCAACGGCACGCACAAAGTTTGGCAAACCTTTCACCCAACTTGATCGTCAATGTGTACTTTTTTTTGGTGCTTTTTTGCCATGCTTTCTAATATATCTTTGCCACGATTTCATGCTTTCATCCAACGGACATCATCCGGCTTCATCTCAGCACTTACTTCGGACGCACCCCCAGAAAAACAAATGGGATGACATCACCTGCAGCACAAAGCCAGCAGTTACTTGGCACTTGGACCGCAAAGTGAACCAACAGTTGATTCGCCATCATTTCAGGCCGTTTTGATGCGGTGAAATTCGCTGCTGCCATCTAGTGGCGGAAAGTCGGAAGCTCGCGCCCATGTCAAGTTTTTTTGCCTGAATCCCAAAAGCACAACTATTTGGACTGGCAAAATACCCAAACGGACTCGCAAATACGTTCGAGGGGCTTGCTTGCCACGTGCAAACGTAGCATTTGCCACGAGCTATCCATTTGCGCCCCGCAGTCTTTTGTGTGCGTGCGTGCGTTTCTTACATCGATGAGATGTATGACCTCCTGTTTCCTTAGATCGCTGCTGATCTTGGCGGCCAATAGGATGCAGGCGGCCGACACCAACTTCCTGTTCAATCAAGTCAAAGAAAGGGGAAGCTTCGACTTGAGCTCATTTGAAAAGAAAAACGAGTTGAGTTGTAATGACGACATGCTAACACCAGAGGGGGCCAACGAGTCAGCATGCCCGGTGGACTTGTTTTGGGAGGGAAACGCACTTCTGGTCACATTGGATTGGATTTTTTTGGAGGGCACTTTGTGCACACAGCGATTGGCGACGGCGAAGGAAGGAATCCTTCTTTTCTGACCTCCTCTCGAGTGGCCCGACACAAAAGCGGGCCTACCTGTTGTGTTTGTTGAG